GTGGGAACGCCGCCGAACAAAGTCATTTTTTAATCGCGAAAACGATCGACTGCTTACTGACAACCAAAAGGTTGTTTTTGGTAGATATGAAGGACACTTACCGCTGAGGTGAAATGAGTTTATAGATGAATTGAGGGGAGAAAACGCCTTGTTTCCTAACGCCGTCCTAAACGCCATAAGCTTACAGCCACAGCAGGAGTCGAACCCGGAAGTATCCCTCCACAGCCGGTTTTCAGAGTTGCCGCGACGTGGAAGGAGCCAATCAGGAGAGTGACCTCAAATCAGCTGACGTGGGTCATGTGACAGGGAGTGGTTGATATGGGTTACACCTAGGTCACGGTTTCCTTCCACACATATCTTTGCAAAAATTGCATAAAAAGCACTTACATCTTTTTATAGTTGCAGTTCAAGCAATATTTAAAAAGACCTGTCAGCAGATTTGGGCTGTAATTAAAAAACAACAACAGAGAACATTTTCTGCATAGACATCCAAACAGGAGTACTTACACATTTCAGTGACAACATGATGCAGAGTTTGAGCTCTGACTCAGGTTCAGCTCATCTCAATAACCCATTAATCTTGCTTCATGGGACACCCCGAATCTCCTGAAATTAACAATGCAAACCTTATTTGCCACACGACACTCACAGAAGTGTTTCTCACTTATTTGAAATAAAATACACGTTTAATTTTACAAAATAATGATGGGATATTAATTTTCTTATGCAATTTAATTTAATTTACTTTCCTCTGACAGTGAAAGAAAAAACGAAAAGGACCCTGTAGCGGCAACAACAAAAATCAGTTTGTATTATCAGATTTTAAGAAGAAGTCATTTTGGAAAAACATACATTTATGTTTTATGTCTAAATTATTAATAATCACCCAAATTAGGACAGTTCTTGCTTACCTCTTCAACATCTCTGACTATATAATCACAGATTATATTTATATATATTATTTGCTGAAGCAAGTCTTTGTTCTAAGTGTCACATTTGCTTTGTTCTTTATCTATGAGAGCAGACGAGGCCTCTTCTCTTCAAAAATATATTTGTTTTCTTAGCATGTCATGATGAGTCAATCTAAAAGTAGTCAGCTTCTAAAGTAGTCGACATTATCGAGAAGATTGTGAAATATCAGCTGATTGTCAATGATTTATTAAATTAAAACACTACATAACATCTCCATGGAGATTTTGAAAATTCTCACAAAGATATTCGTACATGCAGAAAATGTGTTTACATGCTGTGTACTAACTCGAGCTATGCTATGTGGACACCTTTGCAAAGCAGCGTTGCTCATGAACACAGAAATTAAATGTTAGTCTCTGACACTTTTTATCTGCATCGTGATTTCTTGGCAGCTACTTTGGAAATTTGTGTCAGGGTCCCTGGGTCGCCTGAGCAGTTATGGACTAATATTATAATGTATGTATTTTGTATTGCTGTCCCTCGTTCTCCCTGCATGTAGGTGTGTGGGTGTGGCCCTGGCAGGTGATTGGCCACACCTGAAGACCTCGACGCACCTGCAGCTGATCAGGCCTGTCGGAGGAGCTACATGAGAGTGTGGTGGAGCTCTCGCCGACGCTGGATCATTGCGTGGCTTCACGTCAGTCTCTCAACCAGTTCCTAGTTTGTGTCTGCTGCATTATTGTGTGTCTGACGGCTTCCTCTCTCTTATGTCCCCAGGAGTTACGGGGAGACGAGAGGACAGCGAGCACAGGGGTGCTCATCACGGAGAAGCGGAGACAGGAGCACTAGCACTGGGAAGAGGACACGTCACGGGAGTCGGGAGAGCACGGGATTTATTGTCATGTCTGTCCATCACTGTAAATAAACGCACTGCTTGTACATAGAGCACCGCGTCTGGGTCCTCCTTCCCTACACCCCCCACAGTCTGCCAGCCAGACCGTGACAATTTGTAAGAGGTCTGTAGATGGAACAAAGTTTAGGTACAGCCCTGAATTTAGTATAAATAACACAATGTCCTTCAAATGTTATAAATTGACATACAATCGTTCAGAGCCTTTCTAACATGGCTAATCTCTTTCTTATCTTTCTGTTTCAAAGGCTCTCAGGAGGATTGTGTGTACGCTGCAACAGGATCAAACTTCACTGTTTAAAGGCATCAGAGAGCCTGAGATGGTTCAAGGACGCAAGGGTAATCTTTCATCGCAGACAGAAAAAGGTGATCACAGAGAAAAATGATGATGCTGATTCAACTGAGCAAAGACGAGTCAGGACGATACAGACCAGAGGTTCACAGCACAGAGGGAATAAATGTGGGGGGAAATTTACAGAGTGTGCATTTGTGTGTATCAGGTAAGTAACAACACATTATACATACATTCATTCTGGTAATACAAATGTGTCACGATGAGTTGTGTGGCTGTCAGTGGCTGGACCCACGTGCAGGACTCGGAGACAAAACATTAACTTAAACGACAGCTTTATTTGCTGGTGAGTCACCCTTGGCGATACATAAACAACAACTTAAACTAACTAGACTGGAGATGCTGAAGGTAGACGACAATGAATACACACACAACAAACTTGGAGGACGCAACAACTGGCAGGGAAAAAACACAGGGCTTAAATACATACTGAGGTGATTAGGGAATGTGAAACAGGAGGAGAGCACAGCTGGGACTCATCAGACATGACAAGACAAGGGGAGGCAAAACTCAACACATTGACATAGTACACAGACTTTCAAAGTAAAACAGGAAACTGAACAGACGTGGACTAAACTAGGGGATACAGTGACAGAACAAGAGACACACTGACAGAAATGACTGTATACTAACAGAAGTAACACAGAACCACGACCTAAGAAGGAGAACACAAGAAATGCCAAGGACATTGGGAGTTAGGAATACTAGCGACAGAAATCAAACCCAAGAGAATCAAAACACATCATGAAATCAAAGATAACTAATACAAACAGAAAAACACTGAGTCCACAGACTCAGGACCGTGACAAAATGTACTTTATAGCAAATGTTCTGTCTGTTTCTATGTTAGTCACACATTTAACCCACAGAAAACTGCTGGTTTATTAATGTACTAAAGTTACTGTCTAGCTTTCCCATACAGCATTATTATTATTTTTAATGTATTATCAAGATTACCTCTTATAATGTTGACATGATCACATTTTCTTTACTCAGACTGTGTGCAGACGCCCACTGGGATGATGACGTGTACAGTTGATAAGACAAATGTCAGTTTTACTTGTGTTTGTCAGGTGAGGACAATATTTCATGTTTTATTTATATTTCGTATAGAGAGTTCTTCAAATAACTGACTCATAATTAAGCTGCTGAAAACTCTGTGGACAAAGGTCTTCACTTCTCCACTGAAACCAAGCATGAGTTGAACTGTGTTGACTGTACGATGCTGCTGAAACAGCAAGGTTTGGGTTTGTATGTATTTATTATTTTATTATATAAATTGGAAAATAATCCAGAGTGTAAGAAAAGATTAACTGATGTTTTGCACTGGCTGCTTTGGGCAATTATTCTCTTTTCTAGTTAAGGTCATAGCATTAGTCGATCATGTCTTCAAAAGATTAATTCTGCAGTTATTAATGTTTTCACTCATTTTTGTTAATTTTTAATGTTGAGTTTATTGCCTAAAGTCCCCTCCAAATAAAAACTCATACATATTTATATTTTTTCAACAACAAAAAAAAGCCCTGAGAAATTGTTTGCTGAACCTTGCACTGGAAAAAAAAAATTCTCACACACATACATCCACAGATACACAAAATCTATGGATAACAGAACACTCAAACCCTTCTATTACAAGTCTTTTATTTTTACTGGATTTTTGATGTTATTCTTGAAGTCTAAACTTTCAACTAATCCA